ACATATTCTTTCTTTCATGCATAAAGAGAGTGTAAAGGATGGATGCTTCTGATCACAGAAAATGTTTATGAAACAGTAGCAGTAAGAAAGCTCAGTATAGACGCAAGGGCTCTGTGTGCCCGTGTCTCACTGCTCACTGTCACACACCCCTGCGGGCGACATGCTAACAAAATCCAGACTGTTCACCGGCGGCCACAACTGCCCTGCCACCCAGAGCGACAGCACAAGAGCTTCCAAATGACTCTGCCGAATTCGGGCTGGGAGCCTGGCGGGGCTTGATCTCAGGTGATGCTCTTTTACTACTAAATGTTCACGGAAGCCGCGGTGAATTGGGCACGCTCAGGTCATTCAGGGTCACAGGAAAGTTACCAGGACAACTGTCCCACAGGAACCAGCGACGTGGCGTTCACCCGGCAGGGCAGGGAAGAACAGCTGTGTCCCTCATTCGTCAGTGGTTTCAGATCTGCAGGGCGAGACGGTGCCCGCCGCGCAGCCCTCCTGAGCCCCGTCCTGCCTCAGGGCGGAGGCGTGGAAACAGAACCCAGAGGCATGGGTTCCCACTGCAGCCGCCCTGACGTCTGTGCCCTAAGTCTGTCACCCCTCTGCGCTTCTGTTTCTCCGGCAATAAAATGTAGGTCTAGCCATCGTAGGTCATGGAATTTAAAAATGCATAGATGGAAATTATTATTGAAATTGCTTTGATATGCACATTGCATTTATTTTCAGTTGAGCAGCAAAGATCAGAGAAGAAACCCTCTGGCAGCCAGAAGCTGGCTTTTGCTTTGGTTTTCACTGCTGTTACCCTTAGTAAGCGAGAACCCACAGCGTCTAGTGAACTGCTCTGCTGCACACAGACCCTGTGCAGGGTTCTTGCGGATTCGAACTCCAGGACTCCAGGAAAAGGAAGGTGAGAAACAACAGTGGGCACATTTCAGGGTCTCAGTGGGCGAGCCCTAGGAGAGCATTTCCACGTTCAGACACCGACGGGCACACACGGCAACAGGGCCGGTCAACGAGCGTTGCGCTGTGCGCCAGAAACTGCCGCAGCACCGGGAACTGACTGGACCTCCATAAAATATATACATTAAAAAAAAAGCAGTCAGCGAGGCACTGAGACAGCTAAGGACGGAAAAGACAGCGCAGAGAGGAGGCACCCGGTCAGCGGGAAGGCACAGGGACCGGCAGTCAAGTGCGAGAACAGCCGTTCAGAGTTTTAAAAAGACCCTTAAATAACTGACTTGATGTTCGATTTAATTTTCTATTCTATCTCTGAAGAAAGTAACAGCAGACTGCAATGAAAAGAAGGTCAAACTTCAATATAAACTTATCTCCGTTCTCGCCAGGCGTCCTTGTGTGAGTGACACCGTCTTTAAACCCTGCATGGCAATCCCTGACGCACCGCCGTGATGCCCAGGGAAGACAGGGCGA